TTGGACCGACCAGCTTGTAAACATGGTGGTTTATAATATTGTTGCCATTAATCCAAGTAATGATATTATAAGAACCATACTTCATAATCTCGTTCTTATAATCTGCATAGAAACAAACTATACTCAATTGAAAAGCTTTTCAAATTGCCAAAACTCCATCCATATTTGATTCTTTTATATGTGTAGGACAAGAGAAAATGCATAGAAAATTCCCTTCATGATCTCTTAAAACATCAGCAATTCCTAAAGGTCCTGATTTGTCATTTGAAGAAGCATTTATGTTACACTTCAATCACCCCGTTGGAGGTGTATCCATACTGAAATGTTGATCCATAAAAGAAGATTATTGGGTGATCGAAGCAAATCTATTTCAGTATGGCAAAATGCCCATGTTGCAGCCCTTTGAGAAAAAAAAAGATAATAAATATCATTCTAATCAGAAACTACCTCATTGAAAACCAAATTATTATGAGTATTCTAAATGGACCAAATTACTATACCATAAAAGAACACCAGAGCTGTATTTGCATGGAACTCATTATCATTCCATGCCATTGTAGGAAAAAAGCATTTAAAGTCTCTAGAAAAATTCGTGGTTGTCCTATCCATGCCTCCACACGTGACCATAATTTTCATACCAATTCATAATAAAATAGAAAATATTTTATGGTTTCATCCCTTGATTACAAAAATGACAACTTAAATCATTTCTTTTCAGCAGACCTTTTTCTTTAGAGAATATCTTTTGTGGGTAATTTATTTAAAATAATCAATCAAATATTAAGCTCTACCTTTGAATGAGAAAATTAAAGAGGACTGGATATATTATTGAAATGTTTTATCACCTTGCAAAAGAATTGTCTCTAGAATAGTTGAACAACTTTTAATAAAAAGGATATTTTGGATCTGGCTTCCAAATTTTTTTCTCCACGTACAATATTTAAATTTAAAGAAATCTTAGATAATATTTGCAGTAATCCTCTTTTCTTAACCTTTTTATAGTCCCAAAGTCTCCTCCGACAAGTTAATATCCATTAATAGTTGATGTCATTTCAAGTTTTTATATATGACATTATAGCATTTTGATTCTTTCAAGTAGCATAAAGACTAAAATAATTGATTTTTGAAACTAAATTTTTTAACCGTTGAGAATTGAGTTTGTGTCCTATTTCTATTTCTAACGGCTACTAAATTTACATTTTTTAATTTTAATGCAAGTAAGCAATCGAATAATTTAACTAGTCAGTACCTGAATTTATATTTTAATAATTATAAATTTAAAATTATTGAAAATTTATATAATAATTAATTTTAAAATTAGTTAAAGTGTATTTAAATTGAATTGAATATTTATATTAATAGATTTTATTTATATTAATAGATTTCTTTAATAGTATTATAATGTGATTGTAAAGTGAGGTTCCTCTTCATAACGTGTTCTGATAGTAATTTAAAAAAAGTTCAAAGTATTTAATACATATAACATATATCACCATTGTATTTATTAGAAATAGGTTACTCAACTTAATTATACGAAGGTATTGTAAATTTAACTCTAATAATGAAGTGATTCTCAAGAAAAAAGAAAAAAACTGTACTCATATATATATATATATATATATGAAAACGCAAATCATATTATAAAACATTATCACAAAGAGTGCTTTTATTGATTATCTCAATAATTTTAATATCAGCAGCAGCCTTAACAGTTCCCCAAGCAGACCTTTTTAATCTGTCTCTTCAGGTTCTTAGAACATTATATGACGTGATATCCAGCACGATGAAGGCGAAGTGAAGTAACCTGCAAGTATTTGTTTGTCAAACTTTTCTTGCATTCCATGATTAAATTTTTAAAACAAGCTTCATTTTATCTTGACCCAAATATGCATTTAGGCCCACGCAGAAAGATTGTTTTCATTAAATATTGTAAACAGCAGTAATTAGTTGGTTGATTCCCCTTGTTCTCTCTCTCTCTCTATATATATATAGATATAGACACACACATACCATCTCTCTCGTTAGCAAACAACGACATCCCCATCATCCAGTACTAATCATTCTCAATCCCATTACGACATCTTAAGTATTTAATAATGGTGCATGATTATGACATTTTAGCTACCCTAGCTTCGTTGTTCACTTTTAATCTATACGGTCAATATCAGTTTTAGCACTTGATTTGCACTCGACTCCTCTCTCTCTCTCTCTCTCTCTCCACACACACACACACACACACACAAACACACATATATAACTGTTTGCGTTATGATATCTAACCCTTGGTAATCATACAGTGATTGTTTCTAGAAAAGTTAAAGACTCCATTAATTAGTGGCTATATGCTGAAGCTGCAACTTGGTTAATTAAATTAAAAATTCAGCCCCATTTACTTGCAGGCTAGATATATAGTGGCTGCTTCACGCCGCTAATCTCCACTTCATGTTTATACAGTGAGCAGATATCACCTCAAGCATTAAAAACTCAAGGTAGTTGGACATTGTTCTATTAGCCGCTTAAATTTCAGTGAGCAATTAATGCTGATGTTAATACAATATCCCATGTCTTAATTGCTTGCTAGAACTAGCAATGTGTGCCTTGTGCATCTGCAGCAGGGCTTTGAATTTTATATATTGGATGTTGAGACAGTTACCATATATATACTTCAAGAACGACATTCTACCTAACCCCAACCAACATATATACTTTTTTTTTTCCGAACATACTCATATTAATGTATGTATTAAGATCGATTTAGTTAATAATTAGAAGCTCCAGCTTAGACTCTGAATCAAATTAAATATACTATAATTAACAACAGACATCTTCGTCCATCCCTTCAAGTGGCGTTGTGCCATCCTTTTCTGTGTGTTTATCGTAACTTTATTTGATAAATATTACTAGCACGGATGTATACATTCATTTTTTTTTTTAAAAAAAAAAAACATTATCTCTCAAACTATTATTGATTCATTACTATAAAAAAAAAGGGTTGAGAATAAAATTAGAGGGTTTTTATAATTTGATCCCCCAAAAAATCACTCAGTGGTGTTTCGCGAGTACAAGTCAGAATCAATTATCATGATAAGGAAGAAATGGGATGAACAAAACATGCAATTGAGCCAAATACGTCGGCATCCAAATTAAAAAATATTATATGGATAAACAAGAAAAAATCTTGAAGAAGAAGAAGAAGAAATCATCTCCACCGCATTACCTACCTCTAAGGTTTCAACGGATGTGACTTTACAATGAGCATATGTAACTTTTACGATGCTCATGGGACTAATTAGATTGGAAAAGTTAATGCAAGGAAAATTTCTGAGGCAGGAGGTGTAGTTTTGCCCAGATATTGGGATTATTAAACGGATTTGGGCCTCGTTAGCAGCTCCTACTCTTACACCTCAGTCGGGCTACTTACGAGCCCATAAATATTCTTTTCTATTTTTTACATATGGGCCTTCGGTAGTAGGAGCGGAAGCAGTGCATCGGCTAAAAAGATTCTTCGAGAAAAATTCGATTGAGCTTTGAATAATGGAGGAAACCATGCCACACCTCGAAAGTGTTTAATATATTGGAATAATGGAGGAAACCATGCCACACCTCGGAAGTGTTTGAGCTGAAAAAAACAGAAAAAGTTATATAAAATATTATCTTGCATTTGCTCTTCCTTTTCCTCCTTTGTTAGGCGAAACCCAGTTGCTGGGGACCAAACTTCCCATGGTAAATACTGCGACTTTTCGAACTCTGTGGTCGCCTCGGTTTTTCGGCGAAGAAAGACAGACAAAGGTTGACCTGCCCGGCTGTGGCCCTTCAGGCACCTCCAAACAAAACTCACAATAATCAAAGAGAAGGAATCTAGAAGACAACAGCAACACAAAGAGGAGTTCAGTTATTGACCTGATTGATCTTATCCACTATTACTTGACTTGTTCAAAATTTAATCTTTAATGAACGACGTTAACCATTTCCAATCTAACACTCGTCATGGTGGCTGGCTGCATATATATACTTCACACATGCCCGTGCGTGTGTTACCAAAAAAAATAAATTAAAAGACGTTAGTCTTACAGTGTTAATAAAGTCTAGGATTATTATGGAATGAAGCCATGTAAGGATGATTTTTTAATTGTTAAAAAAAACTGACTAAACATGTAATTGGGGATAGAAATAAAAATCTATTTGGCATTGCATATTTAATTAGAGGCAAAATGAAACGTCAATTTCTTTTTGTTATAGTATAAATACTATCTTGTTGTTAAAGCACAAAGAATTAGCAGTCATACCCTTGGGAGGGGAAAAAGCATCCATGCATTGAGAGGCTCATTCGTGCTTCTTTTAATTAAAAAAAGTTAAATAATAGAATTATTCTTGAAATTCAAAAAATCCAGATTAATTGCGGGGGTGTTTTGATTTTATTATATTTTTTTTTTATCCTTGAATTTTAATAACGGCGTCTTCATAATTTTAATTTAAGAATATTATTTTTTTTAAAAGCTACTCGTGTGTCAATATGTTATGGTTGTTATATTATTTAAGTGGCGTGTGAGAACCCATATAACAATTAATTTTTTTTTTTGATTTACGTGGAGTGTCCGGGTCCGCTTACACGCACCACGACTAATCTCCACGGTCCACTGAATACCCTGCAAACCCAGTAGGCATGTAAGGCACCGCAGGGGTGACAGGCGTGCATGTCAGGGCTCGAACCCAGATGCAGTGGAAGGAGACAAGCCCCTTCCACCGCTAGGCCAAGCACTGAAATACTAAAATTCTATTTTCTTTGTATTTTTAGAAGTAGCGTGTCATCCTCTTTCTAACAGTGCTGTGATGAAGATTTTTTTTCTCCGCTAGGCCAAGCACTGAAATACTAAAATTTTATTTTCTTTGTATTTTTAGAAGTAGCATGTCATCCTCTTTCTAACAGTGCATGTTCATGAAAGAAGTTTAATTAGATTGTGATGAAGATTTTTTTTCTTTTTTATTCCCTAAAAAAATGTATTTTTTTGTAGTTATCTTCCAACAAAATAGTTTTTTATTAAAAATTTATTTTTTAAAAAAAATAATCATTTGTCATTTAAATATTAAATCTTTAGCTTGTTTGCTGTGTTTTTTTAAGTTGATTTATCATGATCTCGTATGTTGTGTATCAAATTATATTTTGACATTAAATTATCTTTAAGTTATGTGTTTTTTTTTTTGTTATCCCAAGTATATATTAATCAAATTAACTCGAAATAGGCTCTAATCATTTTCATCTGGCAATAAGTCCTCCTCCAAATTTCATAATGAAATAGCAAAAGAGGTGTATGTATCAAAATAATTCTCCAGAATTTATATATGCTGGAAGGATTTAGGGTTTTCAGAAAAGAATTGTCTAGTAATTTCACTAAAATAGTTTCTCCTCTTCAATGTCACACTTGTCATCTTACCGGTAAAAAGAAAACGAGTAATCATTCCACCAGCAAGAGTCACGAGTTCAACTCATTCATTGTAGCCCACATTACTCAATTTATTTTGATCGAAGGCATGATTGACAGCTAATTGCAAACCATAGACTTTCCTCTTATCTCGTTAATTGTTTATGCATTTACAAGGATTAATTTCCAACGCCAGTGGTTGGATAAGATAAGGAAGGACGACAGAGACTTAATACCAATAGAAAAACCGAATATGGCTGCTCAAAATGAATCCTTGGATCATGCAAAAATTTTCAATGCCTAATTCTACAGATTCTTATCTTATATGATTGATGTCATGCTGGATTCATTTCACTTTCTAAATGGTCAGTGGGTTAGATTGACATTTCGTGCAAGTAAATATAAAGGAAAACTAAATATTAATATTAACAAATAAAATAAAACATGGTTTTATTGTCTAAGCATTCTGTACTCTCTCATATTTTTTTATTTATCCCAGCTAATTTCTCTTTTTATACCCTAAAGTTTTTTGTTTTTTATTATCAAACTTTATTTATTTTTAATTTCATTTTTATAAATTATATCAGTATTATTTATCCGATATGATTTGTTTCTATTTATTTACCCTTGCATATGCTTCGCAGAATATTTTAGCATTGAATTCATGCTACATTCAAGTTTGATTTTATATAATAGAATTTTTGGTTATTTTTTCACAAAATTAACAAAAGACCAAAATTAACCAAAAAATAAACATAGATTTTAAAAACAAAAAAAAAAAAACATCAATTTTTTCCCTCAAGTTGCAAATTATACCGTGTAAACACTGTTCATCCTCTCATGTATGCCTATTCACCAGCTATTCGCAGCCAAGTTTTCCTTTCTAGGCTCTTGAAGTTTCAATTTTGCAGTTTGATCATTGAATTTTATTTCTTTTCTAATTCAGTAGTTTTATCTATTGCTTGTATTTGCATTTTCTTGCATATTTGATCTGTCATTGAACATTAAATACTATAAAAAGTTGTATCTCTAAAAAAATCTGTATGATTGTAATTATTTTTTAAAATATTTTTTGTATTGAAATATATTAAAATAATATTTTTTAAAATTATTTTTAAAATTAACATATAAAAAAATTCAAAACAAACAATTTTAATTTTTAATGAAAAAATTAAAACTTTTTAAAAATACAGGTCTTCCAAACGCTGCTGCCAAGCTGCTAACCCCAACCTACCCCTCTTAACGTCGAACCTATGACATGCTCCATGCGGGAATCATGGTTTACGCAGTCAAAAACGCGTAGTCAGCAGACTCTTTTTTTTTTTTTTCAAAACAAATTGAAGTATTTTGTAAAGGGTGATATATGATAGCGTGACGAGACCTACAGTAATATTTAGCACTTAGCAGTATTATAAAAATATCACTAATAGTTATAAGTATGTATTTCATCTTAATTAAGGATATAAAACTGAAAATATAATTCGCATCCTTGTAAACACTTATATTCTTGAATCTAAGTTACTTTACTACTAGAAGAGATCACTTATAACTCAGTATGCATTCTATTCTTCTCTCGTATGCAAAAAAAAAAAAGAAAAAAAAAGATGCAACTAGAAAATAATTAAATAATCAAGTTCCTTGTAACAACATCGTCGTCGTAGCCAAAACATATAGTTTACATATATATGTGTGTGTGTGTGGGTGGGTGGGGGGTTTGCGCATGCATGCCACTATGAAATGACACAAGGTTGTCATGAACTACAGAGACTCGTTTGTCTTCTTCCCCGCTTACGCGTATTCAAGATTAGGTTACACGGCAAAAGTGGATTGCCTCTCTGAAATTCAAGAAAGATAAAGCTTGACGGTGCAGAAATGTTTTGGCTCCCAAAAACGGAAGTGCTATGAGATGGAAAAACATGGAAAAAATCAAAGCCACCTCCATGAAAAAGAATAAAACAAAAATAAAATACTTTGACCTTTCCATCTTTGTATATTCCGGAACCTGCAATTAATTCTCCCCACTTTTACTCATCCACTGATCACCACTTTTCATAAGAAAATCCAGTCAAATACTCCATGGATGGCTTCAAACAGTTTCATGCTTTATGCCTACGTTCATTCCGGAATTAATGCAGGACTCAAGAGAAGTAAACAATTCTAATAAAGCACACCAAATTAATGGTATACAAATTAAACGGTGAGGATTGAGTGATGAAATTGGAGTCACATGTTGCTGGTGTATTTGGACCAGATTTAAGATTGAATGAATGACAGAGTTGGTAAAGACACGCTGAAAAAGAAAAATGCTCCAAACCCAAAAGACATAACTAAGGAAACTCCGCCTGAGGTCTGGTTATCTACTAAATTGCGGGGCTGACTGCTTTGAGCTTCGCTACTTCCTCTTGAGTTCTTTCTCCTACTTCAGGTACATGCCTTGTTTGTAAGAACATAAGAATTCAGGACTAGCTACTTGTATGACCCTCTACTGCTGATTGCTTTCCTTCATTTGATCTATGTTTTTATCATTTGTAGTTGTTTTTCTATGTTTTCTTGGATTCTCAATGGATCTCATTTTTTTCTTGAGAAGACTCTCTGTCGCTCCCTCGAAATCTGGATCCTTGCCTTCTCTGCAGTGTTGCTTATCACTGAATCCTCGTCTGTCATAACAAGAACTCCAAGTTTATTCTATGCTTGATTCCATTTCTAATTGAACAAACCGGACTTGCCCTTTGATGTCAATTATATCTTTCAAGGAAACTGAAGCCACCTTTTTTACTAAATTTGTCTCTTCAATATCAACTATATCTTTCTTTTAAGGAAACTGAAGCTGATCAGTAAAAGCAATCTAAGAATTAGATCCATCGTCATAGAGTTTAGGGCTCTCTCCAGTTTAAAAGAATATGCAGGCATGCGACTTCACTCTTCTCTAATATTATTATTTTGCCCCCCAAACCTCCGATGCTGGGATGGCTCTTTGTACGGAATAATTATCCTCTCTGTCTATAATTTAGATATTCGGTTCACTTTCTGTCTCATGACTGGCTCAAGTTATGTAGATAAGCTTATAATATTTTGGTTTTCCACCTCGTGTTTTCCTTGACATCGCTTGTCGCTGAATGCAGACACCCTATAAATTTCATCTGGATTTCAACTTTAAGGGGCTACTCCAGGTGATTATTTCTCACTTCTTTCGAAGAAATTTTTAGTGCTGTTTGCTAGTTCCCATGTTTGACAAACATTAACAAGTTTTTTTTCCTGCCAATTTGATGACTGTGACTCCGAACATAGGATATATGATACAACCATCTCTCTTCAAAACTGAGTTAATTTGGAGAAAATCATGTCTTTAGTTGGACCTGCAGAACTTTCTGCAACACCATACGGAAATCATAAGCTGTACTCACTGAAGGGGAGCAATGACAACTCTGGCTTGTCTGCCCAAATATTCTGCCCTGATAAACGTCAGAACATGTATATGACCGATTCTTACTCCATTGAGAGTTATGAGAAGTACTTCCTTGATTCCCCAACAGAAGAGCTAATACAACCATCAAGTTCTGGCATTTCAGGGAATTCAGCTCCACCTCAAGGCACATCTTCGCTTCAGCTAAGAAAGAATTTAGTTTCATCCATGTCCCCTCAAGATGATCCATACGACGCTTATTTCACATTGACGACACCCTGTGATGGCTATCAATTCAATTCCGAGTCAGATTACTTGGACATCGAGAGCCCTGATCCACTAAACTATGATGAATATAAGATGAAATTAAAGCTTCAGGAACTTGAGAGAGCGCTTCTAAATGATAATGATGAGGATGGCATGTTTGGAAATAGTCAGAGCATGGAAATGGATGGAGAGTGGTCTGATCCAATCCAGAATGGGATGCACCATGATTCTCCCAAGGAGTCATCATCTTCAGATTCTAGCCTAAGTAGCATCAGCAGCAATAAAGAAGTATCACAGTTATCTCCTCGAACTCCCAGGCGATTGCTTTTTGAATGTGCTAATGCAATCTCAGAGGGAAACATTGAGAAAGCATCGACTTTAATAAACGAGCTCCGTCAATTGGTGTCAATTCAAGGAGATCCTCCGCAGAGGATTGCAGCCTACATGGTGGAAGGTCTTGCAGCCCGTATGGCTGAATCTGGAAAATATCTCTATAAAGCTCTGAAATGCAAGGAACCTCCTTCTTCTGATAGGCTTGCAGCTATGCAGATCCTTTTTGAGATTTGCCCTTGTTTTAAATTTGGATTTATGGCAGCAAATGGTGCAATGATCGAGGCATTTAAAGGTGAAAGGAGAGTTCATATAATAGATTTTGACATAAACCAAGGGAGTCAGTACATAACACTGATACAAACACTCGCCAACCAGCAAGGTAAGCTACCACACTTGAGGTTAACTGGGGTCGATGACCCTGAGTCAGTTCAACGACCTGTTGGTGGCCTGAGGATCATTGGGCAAAGGCTTGAAAAGCTAGCAGAAGCACTTAAGGTCTCGTTTGAGTTTCATGCAGTGGCCTCCAAGACTTCACTTGTCAATCCATCAATGCTGAACTGCAAGCCTGGGGAAGCACTTATAGTTAATTTTGCTTTCCAACTCCACCACATGCCTGATGAGAGTGTTTCAACAGTAAACGAGAGAGACCAGCTTCTTCGGATGGCTAAGAGCTTGAATCCAAAACTAGTAACTGTTGTTGAGCAAGATGTGAATACTAATACTGCCCCTTTTTTCCCGAGATTTACCGAAGCTTACAACTATTACTCTGCTGTGTTTGACTCTCTTGATGCAACTCTCCCACGGGAGAGCCAGGATAGACTGAATGTTGAGAAACAGTGCCTGGCAAGGGACATAGTGAACATAGTCGCATGTGAGGGAGAGGAAAGGATTGAGCGGTATGAAGTTGCAGGGAAATGGAGAGCAAGGATGATGATGGCTGGCTTCACTTCATGTTCAATCACTCCTAATGTGGTTGATATGATCCGGAAACTCATTAAGGAGTACTGCGATAGATACATGTTGAAGCAGGAAGTAGGTGCGCTTCATTTTGGGTGGGAGGACAAAAGTTTGATCGTTGCTTCAGCATGGAAGTAACAGCTACTATTTGGTTAATTGGGGTAAGTAGAAAGTTGGTTAGGTCTGCCTGTGCTAATATTTTTGTTTGATGAAAATGCGTACCGAGATGTGATGTTATTAGCCACAATGACTCTCTGATGTTGTGCAAAGTTCTTTGCCAGAGGTGATGTATCAGGTTTGCTAATTATCTAACATTATCCACTTCTCCTTTACTCCCTGCTTTGCGTACTCGTCTTCATTTTAATTTTTGCTATATCAATTTGCAAATCTCCCAGGTATCCTGCTTACTTTCAGATTTCACGTTGGACACAATCAGGGTTCTTTTCTTCAAAATTTTCCATATCCTCAATTTTTTTTTTCCTAGCAAAATCTGGCAGTCAACGTCCAACCCCTAACACAATTAAGCATGGAAAACTGACCTTCAAAATACAGAAATTGCAGTTTGCGAAAGCAGTTTCTTTTACTGTGAATTTGAATTATGTCATTGGATAACCTGGCTTTGGACTGACTATTACCTTGGTAGAATATTAGTCCGAAATTATTCTTTATTCCCCTAAATGCAAACGGCCAACAGAGCAATGGTCCTGTCTTTCTAGAAGAACCCTAAAAGAATTATAGACAAACAACCATCACCGACCGGGTCCGTCTCTCATCTCAATCTACCGAAATAATTGGTTTTCCATTCTTTTTGTTCTGTTTTTATCAAGGACAGGGCGAAAGGCTCGACCATTGAACCAAAGCTCATTGAATTCTTCCTTTCCTTTTGTTCACTAGACCTCTATCTCTAAATTTTCCGAGCTAATTATTTAAAATTTTAAGAAGTAACGCAGCTGGTTAAGCCAGAATTACTGGCTCGAGATGATGAGAAAAGGGAGGTGAAGCAACAGAGGAGATGCCAAAGAAACCCAGTTACACAAAAAGAAATCAGTGCATTAGCTTTCTGTATTCATTTACACAATTTGCTTACTATTCAATGAGTGATGTTTAAGGAAAATCCGCTAATTGACTGTTTCTACACCAAATTGTGAAAAGCTTGCTACAAATGTAAGCAGCACCAGATTGAAAGGTGAAAAAACAAGGACCAAATACCTATCTGGCATGTCCTCGGTTCTTCACATCCACAAAACACAAAGCTACTTCAGCTTGAGCCTGGAGCTCTTCTAAGACCTTTACAATCTTCTCAAGAGATACTGCAGTTTCTTTCTGCTGGACAAGCATTCTCCTTATCCTTCATCCACACAAACGACAAGGAGAAAGAACAGTGAAGATAATGGAACAATTTGAAAATTCAAGATGAAAGGTTGAACTATTAGAAACAGGCTGTGTCACAGATACACTTCAAACAAACCACTGAGTAATCAAGTTAGCTTTGTCGCAAACCATTAACTTAAAATGGCTTCTAAACAGGCATTGGAAGTACTAAAACAGGCATTGAAAGTGAGTAGCTCTGTTCAATACAAGCACTACATATAGAGAGCTAAGTGAAGGATATTAGACTAGCCGATGACTTAAAATGGCTATTCAAAACATACAAGTGAAACATTCAAGGGAGAAAAAAATCCCATCATGTGTACAACTAAAGATACACCTATCTTTTCAAACTTATGCAAGCCAGAGCTTAATGCAAGAGATGAGAGCATCAAGATAATTTTTCCTCGTCCCAGCAATGAAATATGTAGAACTGTATGCATTTCCAAACCTATCAGGATGCCTACTCGCTGACATATGTGCATGGAACATTTCTGAGAGTTTGTGATCAGTCTTCAAAGTCCAATAATTGTCATCTCCCAACAGGGCAGATCATGGTCAACAGATTTTTCCTAAAACAAAAGGAGAGCAGAACGGTGCTCATCCTAATCACCCTAACCATTTTTTTGTGTGGTGTTGAGGCAGCATAAAAAGAGGGCATTTAGTGGAAAGGAATAACCTATCCATGCTAATCTTTTATAGGAAACAATATTTGCTTGATGCTCCTTATGTTATGGATTTTGTAATATGTAATTAATGAATGTATCAGTTTTCAATATGGGTGCAGCCCCCTTCACGCTCCTGTATATATTTTTTCACTTATTGCAACTACATACTTTAATTGTCTGTCTTTCAAAATACGAGGATTTAATTACTATCAGATGCATTTGCTTGTTTACATTTCAGTTTTATTTATTCAATATCTAAAGCATGAACTTAAGTGATTTCTGAAAGCAAAGAAATAAATAGGCATAGTAGATGAAACAAAATGTTCTATAACACTTAAAAATTATATACCTATGCACCCTTGCTTTATCTCCATGTCCGGTGCAAATTATGAGCATGGTATTAGTTGGTAGCGTGGAGTAGAGGCAACGCCCCCAAGCATCCATCTGAGTAAGAATTACCTTCAGTTCGGAAGTCAAACTGTATTTCATGCCTTTTCTGTGGGCCGACTTCTTTTCACATGTAACTAATGTTATTATCTCTGCAAGTTTTCCATTTAACTTCCCTTCATCATCTACTTGTTTCTTCAAATAGGAATTCAATTCTGAAAATTGGGTCCAGACAAAATGTACTCCATCATTCATAACCTCCAACCACCACTATTCAAATAAGCATATCACTGATCAAAGAAAAAATATATATATCCACAGTCAATTCCAAAACATACCTCCTTTCTAACCTTCAAAAGTGCTTCCTCACCAGAAGACACAGGAAATGAATGGGATGAACCAGAAGCATACCGATTTACTATGGAAATATCATCAATTAATGAGGAGGTTTTACCACACTTACTCAAAACTATGAGGAGCTTTCTACGGACAAATGATGGGGAAGACCCAAAATCAGGCCCTGGCAGAAGAGTCAGAAGCATAGAATATAGATAAGCATCTGGAAATGCATTCATACAACAGAAAACAAAAAACTACCTAAGTAAATGCTAGTAAAGAATCCGCTTGCCCGACAAGGATGGTCTCTTTGTAAACCAGCTTTAGTGAGCCTCCCTGAATACAGTAAGCAACTGCAAAAAAATGAGAAGATAATATCTTAAGAAAAAATCAATCAGTAAATTAACATTACACCACCAGTAGAAACTGCATGAAGCATAAAATCGGGGGGGTCTTGATTGGAGCAGCAAACCTGAACATCCTTAAGACTTGTGGTTTCCCCATTCAGCATTGCACACGTAATCCCACTAAACCTGGAAAATGAACGAAGTGTTGTTAAATTAAAAATATTAGTCGTTTTTTGCAGGAGAGGGGGTTCCAGGGACATTTTCCCTAATCCAAGCTGGGAGGAGTCTTCCTCATAGGCTGAGGGGATATCCTATGATGGATTTGTCAGAGCTCATAGGCTGAGGGGATAAGCATTTCTTTTTGCAAGGAGGATCGAGAATCGGAGTATTTATTATATAGAATCTGTTGTAGCACGCAGAATCTTGAAAATGGAGTTGATCAGCATCATTTTATAATCATGCTGACAAACTTATCATGATGGCTTTATTACGCAGTGAGCTCCAAATAAACAAAAAACTTAATTAATTAGATACCCATTTGGAGATTTATTTAGCTAATAATTCAAAAATTAAAGCTTCGACTTCTCCCACTTTCAACCTAGATTATAATTAATCATCGTGGTTAGCAGGAGCAATAGTTTACATGCATCCTGATTTTAGACTTAAGAAAAATACCAAAACCAATTCATGAAAAAAAATGAATGAATGAATGAACAAAGCAAGCACAATAACATGTAAAATTAATTAAATATTCATCATTACTAGAAATTTATGTGGTTACTAATTTTATGATCTTAAAAGATTAAAACTCAAATATATATAATTAAAATTATAATAATAATAATAATAATAATTAAACATGAAAAAATAGAGAAAGTGAAACTAACCTGTGGTCCATGGTTATCGTGAAACTTATTCAGGAAGGTGTGTGTGTGTGTGTGTGTGGGTGTGTGTGTGTGTAAACAAGGCTGGTCTTGGTCCATTTATATGCTCTTATGCCGGGCCTAAATAAAACCCAATTAAAAAGATATACTGGACTCAATGTCTCAAGCCCATATATATATTGAAAAGGAACCAGGAGACCTTCTCCTCTTGCTCCTGGCTAATAATGAAATAAAACAGCAGGGAAACAAGTAATCGAGAAGGTCCTGCTAGAGAGAGAGAGAGAGAGATGTCGGTGAAGTTGCAGCAGCCGGTAGGGCAAAAACGGCTGACGAACGTAGCTGTGGTTCGATTAAAGAAGCATGGTATGCGTTTCGAGATTGCTTGTTTCAAGAACAAGGTCCTCTCTTGGCGCTCTGGCGTGTAGGTGTCTCTGTTTTTTTTTTTTTTAATTATTATCATTATTATTTTAAATAGATTATTATTTGTAGTATTAAGTTTATTTTTAGAACGAAGAAGAAGGGTCATGTCCTCATTTTCTTGTTTTGGAAAAAAAAAACAGAGAGAAAGATTTGGATGAAGTGTTGCAGTCCCACACAGTTTATTCAAATGTTTCAAAAGGAGTTCTTGCAAAGTCTTCAGATTTGGGTAAAGCTTTTGGACACGATGATCATACCAAGATCTGCCTAGAGGTAAAAGGAAAATACCTACTGTATTTGTACAACCTTTTTTTATTATCATGATTGGTTTACTATTACTATTATTATTAATAGATATTGGAGAAAGGGGAGCTTCAAGTGGCTGGGAAAGAGAGGGAATCTCAGTTGTCTAGTCAGTTTCGGGATATAGCAACTATTGTTATGCAGAAAACTATTAATCCCGAGACGCAACGTCCTTACACTATCAGTATGGTTGAGAGATTGATGCATGAAATTCACTTTGCTGTTGACCCGCATAGCAGCTCTAAGAAGCAGGTTTTTTGGTGGCCTTTTTAAATTCTTCAAAAGGTCATGTTTGTTGGAATTTTGGCACATCATTCTTGCTAATTGTGTATTTTGTTCAGGCGCTAGATGTTATTCGTGAGCTTCAAAAGCATTTTCCAATCAAACGGTCTCCAATGAGACTTCGGCTTACTGTTATTGGACAGAATTTTCCTAATCTATTGGAAAAGCTCAATGCCTGGGATGCTAACGTTGTTTCTAAAGATGAATCTGGAAGCCATCAATCTGTTGTAAGTTTCACTCATTCCTTTTTAGTGTAAACTTTTTAACTCCACAATGCCTCTCCCAGGGTTAAGTTTTCCTCTCTTTTTTTTTGTTGGCAACTTTTAAATGTTGGCTACAAAAGGTTTAGTGGCTTTGTTTCTTGCATTCATCCTCTGAATGTGCTTGTCTTATGTATCGCCACTGGACTAGTATGCACCAGAACATGTGAAATAAGTTAGGCATCAAACTTTCAAGGCACTTGTCTATTTCTAAAATTCTACTAGGTTAGTTGCTGGTGATTGCGGATCCCTGAAGCAGAGTGAAGCTACAGGAAGTTTCATTACCCATTGCATTACATGATGGTAGGCACCCATTTAGTGTCCTGGTTGATCCCCTACAATGGAAACGTTTCCTATCAATAAAAAAATAATAAAACTACACTGATATTGTAAACAAATTCTGAACACATTTTTTCAAGTTCACTGGATTAACTGGATTTTTCTAATGTCATGGCTGCTTTTGAGCACGCCTAACGTTATGTAAAACTAGACAGTTAAAATTCTCTCATAAAAGTCATAATTGTGACATTTAACTCTTACCAGTGTTTTTCTTGATCTGATCATGTAGGATTTTATGTTGTAGTACAGAAATGATACTTATTTGTAGTGTCAACTGCTGCTGTTGATTCTTTTACTTGGCTTCTATGTATGTTGTTTCTCCATGTGTATACAACAAGTATTGTGATGGGTTGTGTAATATCAATAGGCACTTTGCTTTTAATTCTTACTAATAAAATGCAGCAACCATAGTAGTTAAGTTGTACTTGGGCTGTAATTCTATGTTGAACCCCCCCCAACCCACACCCACACACAAAGCAAAACAAAAAAGAAGAAGAAGAGAAAACAGGACTAAATACAATTTTATTAGGTGGACCATTTGACATGGTGATTCATGTCGGCTCAGGTGTCTATTTGGTCTAGAAATCTGCACATGTTTTGGATCTGAGTTTTTATTGGATTTTCTGCAGATTTGTGAAATGGACCCAGGTTTCTTCAGGGACTGTGATGCCTTCGTGAGGAATCTGCAGGGCAGGCTGGAAATTCTTGCAGTGTCTGTTCATTTTGAGGGGGACACCCATGTAGATGATTTTGATGATTATGAAGATGTGACACCAGCCCTACCCAAGGACTCTGCTGATTCTGAAGTACAACTGAGTGAGAAAATCCAAAAACAGACCATCTCTGAGGAGAAGAAAGCTGACACGCAGGCAAAGCAAAACAAGTGCAGCACATGCAATGCATTTGTTGGGGATGCAAAGCAGTTCAGGGATCACTTCAAGAGTGACTGGCACAAACATAATTTGAAGCGCAAGACCATGCAGCTCCCTCCGCTTACTGCAGAAGAGTGTTTGGCTGACATGGACCTGAATGACACCAAAGCAGATTTAAAAGAATACTCGTTTTGAGATGCGACTGATCAATTTGCGATTGTTGTCTGTGTGTTGCTCGAGTTAGATTTTAAAAGTTACAAATGGGGATTCTTGCCCGTGAAAAAAAAAATGCATAATCAGTCTGGTTTGAACCGATTGAATTGAGAAGATCTGAATTGCATCGGGTTTGCCTGGTGATACCTTAGGTATGTACGCAAAAAGACCGAGTATGTTTTTCCTCGTATAAAAATTATAGAAATTCTGACATGGAAATGATACCATACTTTCTCTTACCTATTTATTTGGATGAATAACGTGGGGATGTCACCTGGGTGGCACAGCCGCATGGTGTCGATGCTTGTTTATCTAGGAATTCCATATACACTATCGAACTGGCTCTAGGTAAAGCTCAAGCCTGTTACATAATTATGTCCGAACATTTTGCAACTGGGTGTTTCCGAATCATATAAGTTAGATCCTATGATCACTTAAGCCAAAGCTTCCATCGCTTGCTTCTGACATTTGAAACACTTACGTGGTTGTCATTTTCTCCTTGGTGATCAAAATGCGACCACGCCACAATGATGTTGGTTTGTACCTTGGAAAAAATGAAAAACCCATGTTCTGCTACACCGAAGGATTGCTGTACCCAGAAAAACGAAGGAATACTTATTTTGTTATATATCCACATGTATGTATATTTTACAGAGAAGTCTTTCATCATCCGTCATGTGGTACATTTTCTCAACATCAGTCGACATTATTTTAGCAGGCTGTCCGCTGGAAAGGCCCAAGAGGGGCAGTAAGAATTTTTAATCTTTTCTGATTCTTTGAAATGAACTTGTTTGTATGGTAAAAATTTAGCATAGAGATTCTGAACTCGAGTGAAAAGGAATTCTGCAAGTGCCATGAGATCAAAGCATTGTTAATACTACCGGAGGATATCTCCATGTTAGGGAAGGAAAGGGGTTGTCCACAAAATCGGCACTAGCAGTTTTTCCTGTCTTTAGTTTTCGATGAAGGGGTGGTTTTAGCAGTTGTGAAGCTGGGGCCCGTATTGATGGATCCCTCAGCAGGCATAGTTTTACAGAACTCTCTGCATCTTCTGATAGGTGACTAGGGATTTCAGGATAATTTTTGCTCTGTGCAATCTTAAATATTGCAGCTACCTGTTGGAGAACAAGAAGATAATAAGATTGGGTCCTAAATTCTTGGCTCACGATGAAAGGCAAAGCATTTCACATGTGTAAAATATCATACCCCCCTCATACTGGCTCCATGGAGGTTTTGAAGTCGCCATTTCAAGAATTGTGCACCCTAAGCTCCATATATCGACAGCAAGACTGTAGCCACTAGTGTTCTCTATCACCTGCATATAAGTAATCTTAATAGATATATGAACTTACAGGATTCAGAAAAATATTGACATTATGAACGTAAAGAAAGAAAACATGACTGGAAAGGGTACATCTCGTGCCATCCAGTAAGCACTTCCTTTAAAAGAAAGCATCAAGAACAAGTTGTCATCTGGATTCAATTAAAAGGAGATCAGAAAAGTCTTGTGGAATAAGAGAAATGTTAAGTGGAATTAATTATGGAAATCATTTAGAAACTTCACATGTCTAGCCATGCCAAAGTCAGCAGGCTTAATCTCTCTGTTTGGACCGACCAGTATGTTTGCACCTTTGTTGTCTCTGTCAAGTGAACATTATTCCTCATCAATCTAAGCACTTACAACAAGATGAGAACCTGAAATTATTAAAATTGCCAAATACCTGTGCATTGTCTTCCTTCCATGCAAGTAAGCTAACCCTGAAAGAATCTGCTTGGTGTAATTTTGTATTAGCGGTTCTGAGAACGGACCATACTCCCTTTGCAATTTATGGATTGAACCCCCAGAAACGAACTCCAAGTATACTGAGAGATTATCCACACCTACATTAAGTATCATTGTCAGAATCCGATATTACGAATGATGTAGGGATGCTGAAATATGCGAAGGAGCTTATACCAGTTTGCTTCCATAATATTGAACGATATTAGGATGTGACAGTTCACTAAGCAATGCTATCTCCTGCTCATACCAAAAACAGAACGATTCAACATATTACTCCTCATTTTGCTGATTTCAGAGGCTATTCCATAAGAAAAAAATGCAAATATAAGTGCTTGGTTGAAGGAGGAGAAAATGAGAGGGAAACCTGATTCAGCTGTTTGAGACATTCATTTGAGTTCTGATCATCAGAAATAACCCTCATTTCCTTCATTGCACACATTTGTCCATTTTCGCTGTTGTAAGCAGAAACTATGCCATCAAATTTCAGTGCCAATAGCCTTCATTTTCGCTCACTTGATAAATATTTTATGAAGTATTTGCTCTCTCTCTCTCTCTCTCCGGAACACAACAAAGCTAAGAAGGCAAAGGAAGGTGGGCCAGAGACCCGGTGAAAAGGCAACAAACAACGAAAGCACAAAAGCAAATTAGCCCAGAGCAGCCTCAAGCCAGACCAACAACGTGCCGGGCCTCGAACATCCGGACGAGACTTCCATGATAAGAAGCGGCCCTCTTGGCAGAAGTGATTAGACCTAATTACAGGGGGGCTCTTAAGGGTGATTGATGTTGAATTATCATCAATGGGAGTATGGATAAGGGCCTCGTGGCTCACAACTTTTGCTCGTGGTAGAGAGGGTTTTTTTTTAATTAAATTAATTTTTATTTGAAAAAATATTATAGTATTTTTATATGATTTTAATGTGATAACATTAAAAAGATTTTTAAAAAAATCAAAAAAAATCATTTTAACAATTAACATTCAAAATTAATCGACCGATTTAAATGCCTCGTATGCATGTCTTTCTCGAGCAATGTAATTTGTGTCGTGAGATTATTCCCTGGTCAATAACCTTGGCCACAAGAAACATTTGATATTTCTTGCAGCCCTTTACCACCTCACGATTTTTCCTTCTCTTAAAGGATGGGAAACTATGTCTCATAATTGGATCTTTTAGATTTTTCTCTGTGAGCTCACTTCATAAAATGTCGTCCACATGAAAACCAAACCCTTTACCGCCTCACGATTTTGAGAGCATATCCCCGCTGAAAAGTTAGAGATAAGCAATTTAAAGGATTAAAAAGAAAAAAATAGAAAAAATAAAAATAAAATAAAGATCTTGTAAAACTCTTGTCCGAGAGACCAAAGCCACAACCTCCTTTTCATGATTCTTTCCAAACTCCATAACCTGTAAAAAGATATATCATCACTCCACAGAGAGACAGAGAGAGAGGGAATGGCTATGAAGAATTGTTTCCAAGTTAGTTCGGTGAGCACCACCAGAGCTGGTGTTTGTCGTCCATTTGCTCCTGTGGAAAAGCTTCAATTGCCAACATCTAAGGGACTGAACACATCCAATTTGTTATTATCTTCACCTTCTTCGTCCTTTCCTCCCTCATTGAGAAGCAGATGCCAAGAATCCCGCATTGTCTGCAAAGCTCGTGAAGCTGTAGATGCAGGTTTGCCAAATTATACCCTGGCAGCTTTTTATGCGTCTCTTGTTTGCTAGAACATCATGCAAGGAATGGAAGTATATAGTTACTAATCCCTTCTTAGTCCGTGGGCTTAGGCTACGTACTTCTTGAAGGAAGTAAACGAAACTAAATTGAGTTAAAATTAGATAGCCCCTGATATTTTCCTCTCCATATATCTCCTTATTTAATCGCATTAGACTATTAAATGGAAGGATAAAATCTTCAACAAATTCATCAGTTTTCTTCCCTTTTTTCCTTGAGGATGAATATTCCTGGAATCTGATACATGCAAATGCTTGAAAAGTGCAGTTCAAGTAGCGACAGATGCAAGCTGGGATGCTGTGATTGGAGGTGACACCCCTGTTCTGGTGGAGTTTTGGGCACCATGGTGCGGACCTTGTAAAATGATAGCACCAGTAATCGAGGAATTGGCACAAGAATATGCAGGAAAGATAGCTTGTTACAAAGTAAACACCGATGACTGCCCTAGCATTGCCACAAAGTACGGAATAAGAAGCATACCAACCGTGCTGTTTTTCAAGAAAGGAGAGAAGAAAGAAAGCGTAATTGGAGCAGTGCCAAAGACCACCCTGTCTAGCTCCATAGAGAAGTATATTGATGTTTGAAAACATCAAATTATGTAGAGCTATGACGGAGCTATAAGTGCATAGCCACCAAAACTCTCTTGCATAATGTAAATGTCACTACGAATTCAGTCTTGTTCAAATTGATAACGCAATGAGCATCTCTATTTCTTCAGCTTATGAACTGTCTTTCCTACATTTGTAAATGCACAGAAATCCATTTAAGCCTATCATGCAGCGCCTTGGAAGGCTCTTTTTAAATTTGGAAATCACATGCATCCCCATTCACCTAAAGATTGGACCATGTTCTTCTCTGATTTGCCACAGCTCCTACTCGTGCTTTCAGGTTTTAAGTGAGATGTCACCATTATAATAACTTGATTAATCAATGCTGACCAATAATAGAAAAACTAGTTGCCAATTGGCAAGATCTGAAGACAGACAAGATTTAACACTTCACTAGCCTCCCTACCTCACCATTTAATTTCAGCCTAGTGTTTCAAATCAGGGAATCACTTATCGAGCCTCACCATTCTTGAGTTTAACCACCAGGTCAACAAAATTCAATGACGCCGAATCTATAGGCAGAGAGGAAACTGAAAAGAATACAACGCAATAAAATACATATGGGCTCTGAGATAACCCTAAAAATGGAACAGATGAGCATATCCATCAACACTTGATGTATTTTCATGAATGATGACTTGAAAATGAGCAGGAACTACACGTGAAAGGGGCTCTCAACCAGACAGCTATCCCTCCCTGAATTCCCATTCCAAGACTGTTAGTTAGAAAAGAGGCTGCATTGAATCATAATTAGGAAAACAATTAGAAGTAAATGAGGCAACTCAAGGAGGATTTAATATTTCTTTGATAAAACACTATGCTATATGTTTACTTTTCCTCGAAAATTAGTACAAAGTGGGAAGCACGCCTTTAAGCTATTCCTTGGTGTAATGCAATGCCATCTTCGCAAGGCTTTTATGAAATTCTGCCCACACTTGTACCGCACAAGCAGCTGCTGAGACATCAATATAATTAACAGAACCTTCAAGGAGATGGTTTCCAATCAAACTGAAGATTGCTAAACCCATTAACTGCTCCTAGCCCACTAAGCAGTTGGTTCCCCAAATCCTGTTGATGATTCATGCTCTGGTCTCGTACCATCGATGGCATGCCCATCCGACCATTCATCATTGAGTTATTACCCATTGCAGCTCTGATCCCATTGACCATTACAGACTGCGCAAGTCCACCCATAGTCCCATATCCAGCACCCCCTCTTCCAGAACTATTGACTGCCCCATTTCCCACCAGGCCATTTCCACCATTAAGAACCGTATTATTACCTGTTGGCAAAATTCCATTCACATTTTTCACATCATTCCCCAACGAACCAACCCCAGCCATGCCACCAGTTCCATTAAGTTGGTTGGTTAACATCATTTCATGAAATAATTTCTGGACAGAGCTTTGAGAATCACCATGGTCAACCTCGCCAGAAAGAGTAGGCTGTTGCAATGGAATAGTTGCTGGTGAATTTGTGGAACTAATGTGATTCACAGCTGTCAAGGCACTATGAGATGCTTGAGGATTATTAGACGAGGACGGTGTTGGCGACTGGAAAGGAGAAGGGTTAGGTTGTGCCTGTGGAATTGTACTGGAGGAACCAGGAGATGGAATCTGAACAGAGTTTCCACCAAAGGGACTGCTTGCATTATTGATAGAATTTTGTTGTCTTGAATTCATAGAATTTTGGTGGAGAAGCCCAACAATAGCGCTGGCATAGTTAGTTGCAGAAGCTGTGTTGAGTGAGTTATTTACACTAGCCATACCATTGCTAGCAGTAATTTGCATTGTGGCTTGGGCAGAACTTTGATCACTATTTGAGTTGGCAGTTATTGTTTGCTGTTGTTGTTGCTGTTCCTCAGTCTGTTGAGCTTGACTATGGAACCCAATTGAAGCACCTGTCCTCCTAGGGAACTTGGACAAACTCTCTGAAAACAAAAAAATAGATGGATAATTGAGCCCAGATTGACAAAAAGGTACGTTGGTGATATGCATGACCATCACTACCACATAAGTATCAGCATGAACTTTTTCAGGGATCATTTCGTTAGGACCACATCAGAAAATTACAAGCAAGAAAGTTAAAATAATAGCCCAATCAAGAACCTGTCAAACTTACCCATTGGTCCAGTTCCTGTTTCTCGGCTATAATCAATCAAGTCTTTCATACTATTTACCACTTCTGATATCTGCAATGATATTGAACAAATTATTATGACAGAAAAAAAAATTCAATCAGACTGCATATAACTTCAGCAAAATATCATGTAACATCCTTGAAAATCACCATTTTTCACTGGACATTTTTACAGATAAAAATCTTTTCAGATGCCATATCCAGACTTCAAGGAATAATATGCAAATGATGTTAACAAAATAATTAAGATCATTTTCAGCTGTTTGTGAAAGATTTGTTAAAAGGATAGGATAAGCAGGCAGAGGCAGTCTGACTTCAAACAGCATTCATTGGTTATCAAAAAAATCTTCAAACCCGCATCATTGCAAGAGTTTCAATGTGAGTTTAAATGGATATACAGTTTATTGCAATAAAACAAGCAGTTCAGACCTTGAGATATTTCCAAGTCACAATTTCAAACACCATGGTAGAAATGGAATTTACAATTACAGGGGCAAATCAATGCCACAATATATTATACAAATGTTGATTAATCTATAAAAGATAGAGGATGAGGGGGTACAACGAGCTACTGGGTAAAAAAGAGTACATATTTGCATGGAGGCTAGAAGTATACAGAAATCATGATATTCTAGTTCAACATCAGCTCTTAAACCATTGAATTTGCTATAAGAGAGCAAGCATAATGGAAGTAGACGTAAAAGCAAAGCAACTACCAAATCTTATATGAAATTGAGCCATCCATATTCATTATGTTACAGGTCCTCAACGAAAATCAAGCCAAACCTAACAGACACATTAACATATCCTGAAAGATGTAGTTGAGAAGACAATTTTTCTAGGCATAACTTTGAACAAATTCACTGCAGTGAGCAAAAGGACAACACTGGAAAGCACATGCATTGAATACCAGAAAACAATTTCGATCTTAACTGCAAATAAGAATGAAGTATGATCGCTTTCCTCCAGAAAAACAAAGTGCATATGAACTCGAACTTGTAAAGCTGAAATTGAAGGCACTAATATTTCAAACCCAAAGGATCTCATCACCAACATTTGTAGTGAGCTCAGAGTT